TGACCTGGGCTTCTTTGCTTGCATTCTCATTTCAGGACCCTGGTGAGCTAGGGTCAGGGAAACTGTCTCTGGGTTCCTGTTCCCTCTTCCAGTGTAGATACCAAAGGACTAAATCTCTTGGCTTTTCACTAATACCCAACTGTTTAATTGGTCTATTGGGGATGAGGGGCCACATCTAGCTTGTTAGGATTGCCAGGGTCCAAGCTCTAAATTTAAGGATCCCCAAGCTACTTAGGAAAAAGCACATACTTTGGGTGTCAGCTGCTCATAGGAAGTTGCCCCAGATGGAGAGGTTAAGACCCAGAAGGTGCCATGCAGCTGCTGACGTGACAGCATCTGAGGGGATCTTTCCCTGACTTTCCACTTCAGCGGGTTTCCACAGCTTTTCCACCTCCACCCAGGAAAGCCGAGAAGTAAGACTTTAACCTATGTTCTATACTCTCAAGAAAGTTTGACCTTTGGTAAATTTCTTCCTACTTCAGGCACCCCGAGTTTGTCTTCCTTTGGTTTGGAGACTCCTTTGAGCTACATGAGTTATTTTTAAACTATTTTGAAGACTTGTCAGAGTTCTCCAAAGCCACTTCCATCTTGTTGAGTCCCTAAGCTTCATGGCATCTCTTAGCTGTTTGGAAGCCCCTTTGAGCAAGGTTGGTTTTCTGTTGGATAGCTTGGGCATCTGCTACCTACCAGGGAAGGTTGATACATATTGGTCTTTGAGGGGGGGCCTTTATGAAGCCATTTAGGGTTCTGAGGGGGACATTTGAGACAGAGAGACAAGGGTTTCCAGGGGCTCTCTACTATGATATGTCAAACCATGGAAAATGTCAAGTCTGTCCTGATGTCATCTGGGATGATGGCATAGGATCATTTTCTCAGATGATTAAATAATTAGAAGACAGAAAAGGGAGTGTGAGAAGTTTTTGTTTCCTTTTGTATTGCCAAGGCAACCTATAAAAGAAAGCATCTAATTGTGGGCTTACTCACAGTTTCAGAGAGTGAATGGACAGCCATTATTATTATGGGAAGCATGGCAGCAGGCAGGAAGACATGCATGGATGGCACTGGACCAGTAGCTGAGGGCTTACATCTGATCCACAAATTGAAGGCAGAGGTGAGGGTGGGGGTGGGGAGTGAGCTGCAATGGCTTGGGCTTTTGACACCTCAAAGCCCACCTCTAGGGACACTTCTTCTCCAATGAGGCCACACCTCCTAATCCTTCCCAACCAGTTTCAGCAACTGGGAGCCAGAGCACTCAAATATTTTATTCAAGGTAAAAGTAAGGGAACGTAGGCTCCTTTGGAAATGAGGGGTTCAAAGTGAGAACGCACCTTTTGTCCCACCCAAGGAATCAGTTAGTTATGGGTTCCCTTCTGACTAGCTCTGTTACAGTTGTTATATGGCTGCCTTCAAGGCTTCGATCTTTCCCTTTACCCAACATAGAATTCATGGGAAATTAATTATTTGGGGTCCATCATTTCAATAATTTAATAACAGAAGTCTTTTTTCTTTGGAATTTCTTGTCTTCTGTCAGGTTGGGTACAGAGTGCACCTATTGCTTGCTCTGAGCTGCAGTTTCCATGGCAATAACTTCCACTTCATTTTCAGGTCATGTGGGTTTAATTAGTTGACTGAAATGACAGCCAGGCCCTCCGGTTATAACAGTGCATGGCACAGTCCCATGGCTGGCCTCACAATCAGCCCCAGGCTCTCCCCAGGAGTCCCTACCACCTCCCCTCCCCTGAAATCAGCTTATAAGTGTCCAGGGAAAGACCTCGAGGAACAGCCCGCATTACACACCCAGCCTGTAACCTTCCTGCTGGCCTCAGCTGACTCTACGCAGTAAGTCCTTCACCCTCTTCCTCTTGAGTCCTCAGGGTGGGCATTGAAAGCCTCCATCCCCTGGGCTCAATATCCCGTTCATACATGGGAAACCAAGGTACCCAGCTCAGCTATTAAGGAGAGTAAAGAGAATAAAGTCCTTGCTTTGTGTCTTAACACACAGTAGGCCCGCAGTGTGTGCTGGGAAGGACTGGGATGGTTTGGATCTCTTGTCTTTTTCTGTTCTCTGCTTATAGAGAGGCAAGAAGCTAACTTGGGCAAGCTTACCCCTGCCGGGCATATGATCCACCCTGGGGAATCCTCCTTATGGTTATCCACTCTGAGCCAGAGACCCAGCCATGGGCTTGGTGACTCTATGAACTCCTCCAACTATCTTATCTCCTGAAAGGAGTCTTTCGACTCTGGATTTTTAGAGGTAAATTAGTGTACAGTCTGGGTCCTCATCCCTCTGCCTTTAAGCTCACCTTCCTCCACAGGAAAATGACCTTTATCTTCTAGTGGGAACTCCTGAACCTCAAGGGAGCATTAACTCCTGGGATAACTGCCCCCTCTGTCTCCTCTTTTTCTTCTGGGTTCATGGACCGTGGCTAGTCCTAACTGTTGGCAGTTTTGCTAAATCCACAACCCCACTTCCCCTATGAACTGCCCTAAGGTTGTATCTGAGTGTTCTCCATGACATGTTTGCATTTGCTACATTTACACTACCAGGAAGTGGGGCCTGCTGTCCTCTTTGTCAGGCTGTTAGCAGCAGTCCAGGTCCTGGGCTCAGAAGAGGCAATTGGAGAGACTGGGTACCAGAGGGAGCTGAATGAGACTGTGGCCCAGAGTGTCCAGATTCGGGTCTCTATCAAAGAAATGATTCAGAGATGAGACAAAGTAGGGAGGAAAGACTGGAGGAAGTTCATTAGATTTCACACAAACATTCAGGAGCAGCATGGGCTTCTCAGGAAAGTAGCATCTCCTCATCAGCCCTTTAGAGAGCTCATTTGATAGATACCTCAGCAAAGGGTAGGGTTGTTCAAGGGAGAGATGAAGAAGAGGCAAGTTCTATGAATAGCTCTGAATTTTCCTAGAAAAAGTTTATTCTCCATTTCTGTCCTTACTTGGAAGCTGTAGATGTGGCGTGACATCAGACGCATGAGGGGAGAGGCAATCTTGCAAAGCTAGTGACACGGAGACATTGTTAAAATAAATAAGGATCAGCCTTGTGGGTCCACTTGGGTCGGGTGGTGTCCTGTTATAATACGGCTTTGCAATCTCCTCAGCTTTCAGTGACTGTGGGATCTGTTCCCTCTGGTTGATTATATATGTCAAGCCTACCTTGTTGGTACATGTGGTACATGTCAGTACCACAGGGGATTGTTCTAGCAGCACCCAGAGCACATGATCAGAAGCTACAGGCCTGTCTGGCCCTGGTTCATTCTAATCTGCTTTGTGCCCTTAAGCAAGTTACTCACTTGTTCTGAACCATTTTAAAGCCATTTTAAAAATGAAGAGAGCAAGATGACTCAGAGGTAATGGTGGTGAATGACTAAAGCCCCAGGGCTATGTCACAGACTCATGATCAACAGTAATCCCCAGAGAGCATTAAATGAAGAAAGGAAGGGAAGGAAGGAGCGAGGGAGGGAAGAAGAAGGAAGGAAGGAAGGAAGGAAGGAAGGAAGGAAGGAAGGAAGGAA